CACGAAATTGCTGGTTTTTGCAAGTATGAGAGGAAGCTTGCTCTCTAGTTGTGGATGATTTTTGTTGGGTAGAAGATGCCCTAATTTATAGCCGCTGGAAGCTGATATTTTCCAAGAAAACCTAATGGCTTCTACCCATTTTGGCTAAGCTTTTCCTTCCTTTCTCCCTTCATCTCTTCAATCATCCCTTTTTGGTGAAATCCACTCTACCCATTTGCACAAAATCAGGGATTTTTGGGAGCTCAAAGCCCCCTTTCCCGCGGCTGTTTCAGACTTCTATTTTCAGCCATCTTTCTTCCTTCTTTTCTCTCCTCTTCCAAGGCTAGGTCTGATGAGGGAAGGAATGGGTATGCATGCTGGTTCAAATGGTGATCTGCGCTCCAATATCCCTTGGTCATTTGGAAGTTTTTGCTTGAAACTTGTTTCTCCCATGTGCTGGAGCTTTCCAGCAGCTTTCACACATGGATATTTTGGCTTTCAACGTGGCTTTTGTTTTCAGCTAGGTGCTGAAGATTTGCGTATATATTTTTTTGGGTTGCTTGGGCCTTCTATGACAATAAGTTGGTTTATCAAGTACATGGGCTAACTTCATCAAGTATTGGGCTAGTTTGGTTGAAGTGATGGGCTATTTTGGTTGGAGTAATGGGCTATTTTGGTTAGGCTACTTTCTCTTTTGTGCTCACCCACATATTTGGGCCTAAGAAATGGGCTTGGGTTCCGAGGCTCCCAAGTAACCCGGAACCTCCACTTCTTGGTCCATCAATGGGCCTCATGACAATTTATTACCATCCATACCACAACCCACTCAAGCAAGCCCCGGGTATTGGAGTGGCTTGGGGCCCACTTAAGCTTGTGGCGTGATTAGGTGCGGAATGATAATCCTTGCTTAGCGTGGCGTGTCGTTTGGCGTGGCATGTGTGCAAGCGCATATGATGAACTTTCGCATGCCCAAATCGGGTTTCTTCTTGGTAAAACATCGCATTGGGCCGAGAATTTATTTGGGCCGAACCGTGAATATTTTGGGCCTTAACATTAGCCCCCTTGATTATTGGGGCCATGAATGTGTATTGAAATGGTCCGAATAATCAATTTTCAGCCCAAAATAAATTACCGTGGCATGACATGGCATGGGTTTAGGAGCAACTCAAGAATAACAGGTTAAGGGTCTCTGAAATTACAGCCAGGTCTTTTCCGGGAAGGTTGGAGGGGTCACAATGGTCCCGCTTAAAACCCAATCCTTCTTAAATACCGAGGGTGTTGCCTTGAAGAACTTTCCTAGACACTGTAATTTTGGAGGTCACTTACTAGAGTTACCAAGAGTTGACCTATTTGGTGGCATGATATATAAGAAAATGCTTGGTGGATTAGCTCAAGATAACTACTTAGCTTGCATGATTTATTCGCTTGAGTGACTAGAGAGGCTTGATTTTGCATGATTGTGGGTTGCAAGAGTTGCATTGACTTGGTATTGGCATGTATGCTTGATGTCGGCATGTATGCTTGGTATTTAGCTTGATGCTTGGCATTGGCTTGTATGCTTGATTTTGGCTTGATACTTGGATGCTTGGTTTTGGCTAAGGTAGCATGGTTTAATATGGCTTTTGGGACATTTAGCATGGTGAATGTCATTTGACAGTAGCCGGACGTGCTAGTGGATGGTGGGGATCCAATTTTAGAATTGCGGATGCAATAAGCTTGGATTCACCATTGTGTTTGAGTCTACAGCACCAGCCTCTGAACACTTTGAATTTAGCGAACAAAACTTCTGTGAAGGTGATATCGTGCGACATGATGGCTAGATATTGGAAGAATGCTTGAAATAGGGCATGCGCTGGAAGGATGTTTGAAATAAGGCAAGTGCTGGAAGAATGTTTGAAATAGGGCATGTGCTGGAAGAATATTTGAAATAGGGCATGTGCTGGAAGGATATTTGAAATATAACAAGTGCTAGAAGGATATTTGAAATAGGGAATGTGCTGGTAGCGGTTTTGTTTGGCATGGAATAGGTGCTGGAAAAAATGTGACTTGGCTTGGCATGATTAGCTTGGACTTGGATAATCTAATGGTTGAGTTGAATCAAGATATAGCTTGATCTAGCATGAGGGTTCACTCTTTCGGTAGCATGAATATTGGTGTTTTGGAAAAACGATACCCCTTTGTTGCAATGAGGACAATTTGGCATGATAGCATGACTTCTTCTATGTGCTTCTAGCAACTAGAACTGCCAAGTTCTAACATTGCCATTTTTATGATGACTGTATTGCTTGAAAAGCTTGATATTGTGATATTTGGTTTGGTTTGCTTGAAATGATTGCATCCAAGTGAAATGCTTGAGTTGCATGGTTTGCGTGGATTGATTCACAAATGCTTGTATTGATGGGTGGAAGAAGAGATACGAGTTTGAGAGAGCATAAGAGAGCTGGGCACGTTGTCTCCTTGCTGGCTTGGCCTTCAGATGGGCAAAATTTTGTTGCCCCTTCCCTTTGAATTTTTTATTATTTGCAAGTGTCTACCCTCTTTTCCTTTCATTTGGCATGGCATGCTTTATTTTATGATTTTCTCTCATTCTCCTCTTTCCTCTTCTTCAAGACCCAAACCCGTGGGTATTGTGCATCAGTACATAAGTCATATTTCGGAAGCTCGGATCAGAAAACTTCCTTGATCAAAGTTGTTCTTCTGCTCGAGTACTATAGCCAGTAAAATTTGCAGAATTTTTTGAATTTTTCTGATACCTCAAAGCTGGTTTGCAACTTCTGCATTCATCCATGGCTGGTGAGTTTTTGCAGATTTTTCTTTTGCATGTGTCTTTAACTTATGATACTCGTATGATTGCGCTTGCTTCACAAAATTTGCTTGAAATTATGTTGTCTATAACATATCCAAAATTGAGGATCATCCACCCATTCTAGTGCTCTCTACCTCCATTTTTCTAAAGCATGTTCATGAGTTGATGTTGATGCCTTTGTTGCATGCTTGTCTTCTATGCTTGAATGCTTGAGTTCCTCTGTATTTCCCAGAATTTGTGAACTAGAAATCGAATTCTAAGGTTGAGCTTTTGATTTAGGATTCTAGCTTGGTGATAAACAAGAGTTATACAAGCTCACTTGGGTATGCATGCCAAGTGTTTGTCAAAATATCTCAAAGTAGCTTGCTGGCTGCTTTTTGAACTTTTGAAATGTTTCTTTTCGAATCTGAGTTGGAGCTTTTGAGACATAAAAATGGACTTCTCAATGGTTATGTTGGAATTGGTCTTGCATCACTTGAAGAAAAAATAAATTTTCGGTGGAATTTCAAAGTAAGGGTTAAGGTGCTGGAGCTGTACAGTTTCTGCTGCATGGGTTGTTTTAGAAATCTGTTTGACATGCTTCCCTAGCTCAAAATGCAACGAAATTTTGGGAAAATGAAGCTTGATATGTCTAGTTCTAATCTGGAAAGTCTAGGATTTGTTGGTTGTAAGCTTGATTTATAGTGATTTTCTAAAGGTGGGATATTCTAGCTAGGATGGTTGGAAAGCTTGTGTATAAGTTTTGCTTGGCATGTTGCTTTTGCTTGGGAATTTAGCATGTCCTTTCTGTTGGCATTGAGTGCCGATCTGAGTATTGCTAAAGCATGTTCTTGAGCAATATTGTCGTGAGAGCATGAAGTGGAATGGTATTGTTGTAAGAGCATGAATTCTTCAATTTGCTTTGAGACGCCCGAATTGCTTGAAATGCTTGAATGAAATGAAATTTCTTGGCATGTGAATTGGTATCACACCTTGTGAATTTTGTCAAATGCTTGATAGATGAGTTTGCTTGCACTTTGAGAAAATTATGCTTCCGGCACATCCGTTTGTGTATGAGTACCTTTCCGGCGTCTAATTTTGGCTATCATATTCTCTTGTTTTAAAAGCTCGAAAGCATGATAAAGCATGAGAAGTCTAATTTGATAGCATGAAAGTGAGTCTTGGTTTCTTGCAACTTGTCTTTGGAAAACATTATGCTTTAATAGCGATTCTACTTCCGGCACCCCATTTCTGTTTACAAGTTCCCTTCCAGCACCTGATCTGACCAACGTACTCCCTTATTTATTTTTCAGGCTTGATTGAGAGATTCCACATCATGAGAAATGCCATCTTCTTACTAATTTGCAAGGAATTTGGTAGCATGAAGGTGAGTTTTGGTTGCTTGCACCTTGACTTGCGATATGAAGGCTTTTGGAAGATTTGAAACTAGCAGAATGTTTGAAATTAGGCATGTACTGGAAGGGATGTTTGAAATAGGGTAGCTTATGGAGTAGGTGCTAGAAGAATGCAACTTGGCTTGTTTCAAAAAGGGGAAATAGAAAACTGTTTCTCACCATAATGCAAGATTATCTAGGCTTGTTGTAATCAAAGAGATGATTTATACTGTGTGGCAAAAAGGTAGATGGGTTTGCTTGTTTGAATGGCATGGTGTACTTCCTTGAATTTGCTTGGCATGAAGCCCTCAAGTCAGCTTGTTGAGGTCAGCAATTGGTTGCAGAGTTGGGTTATATTCTCTTTGGCTTACTCAGGGTCGAGAAACAAAGTAGAGGCCTGCTTGTAAATTTTTTTTTGCAACTTGCTTCAAAGAAGATCTTTGGAAGAAGTAGACTGAAGATGAGAAGGAAGAGGCTAAGCGAGTTGCTGGAAGAGATTCATACAGCTTGTTTTCCTCCAGATAAGTAACAAACAGTTTGCTTTCCTCCAAGAGGAAAACTGAAATTTACAACAGCTTCAGGATTCTTGTCTCTCTCTTTTGCTTGGCATGAAGCCCCCAAGTCATTTGGAGTTTGCATGTGCTGTTTGCTATGATGGATTCTCTTAAGCCCCCATAAGCCTTTCGCAAGATGTTTTGTCTGAAAAGCTTTAAATTTTGCTGTAGTGCAATTGCATGAATAAAGCTTGTGATTTTTCAGGAGTTGTCGTATAGCCATGAGAAGAAGTTCTTGCAAGTATTAGTTGCCGAAGTATCCATCTTCAGAAAGACCAATTCTTAAGTATGCCTGAAAATAATGATGGTGCCAAAGTCTGCGCAGAAAAACATGGGGATAATTGCAATGATGGGTCAGCTGGTTGCATAAATAATGAGATCAACAATGGTGCTGAAGGAGATGGTAACGTGAAATAGAAGATACAATATTCTTTTAGCACCAACTACCCTTCTCCCGGCACCAACTACCCTTCTTCCAGCACCAACATCCCTTCTTTCTTGGTGCATTTGAGGTCGTCCTTTGAGGTGATTGACAAGGTATGCCCTTTCCTCTTTGCAATTTCTTGAATCTATCGAGGGGCTTGTTGGGTTCTTCATGCCCATGGGCTTTGCTCGTTCACTGGAATCTCAGGTCCTTCCTTTTAACTCTGTAGGAACATATATAGACTGATATCTTGGCCTAGGCTTGTTTTTCGCATGCTTGAATAAATTTGGACTTTTCTCCCATGTTGTGGAAATAGAAATTGATAGAGTGCATGCTCTGCAATGCTTGAATCCTTTTGCATTTTGAGGAAGAATTTGCTTGTCATGGGAATTGCTTGAAAATTTCGCTTGCCATGGATAAATTGTATGCTGCTTGGGTATTTGCTTAAGTGTTTCCTTTGGCCTGAGCTTGACTTGCCCTGCTTGGCGTATATTTTGCGTGTGCCGCGTTCTTGACCCGCTTTTTTGTTGTTGAACTATATGCATCACGAGCGCATGCTTGTAATCGTATGATTAATGCATAGGATTAGAGGCTATTGAAAGCTTTGAGAAAAGCACCATTGGTTTTTTTTTTTTTTGCGTGTGCAGGTGCACACGTCTCAGGCATAGGTGGGGCAGGTGCTGGAAACCTTGACGTTTCTGCTGTTGGAACCTTCAAATCCTTCAGCCTTCTAACTTGGATATTTGGGGCTTCTGCTTTAATCTTTTGGTAAGTAACTCCCCCAATTTGAATATTCCAGGAATAAGCATAGACTGGTGCATGGCCTAGGCTTACTCCCCTTGTGAACATATGCTTGATTAATTGTAGACTTTGTTCTCGGTTGCGAGAAGTAGGAATGCATGTCTTGCAATGCTTGATTTTTGTTCTGAAAGAAAATTTGCTTGTCATGCTTATTGAGTCACAGGATGAGAACTTTGTTTGTCACGAACTTGGGTCAGAAATTGCATATTTGTTTGAACTCCTTTTTTTCTTTTAGGTCAAGAGCATCTCACAAGGGGTGGAGGATACGCTTCCCCTCCCCTTGGGACACCTGATACAGCTGCCGGCACCTCTTCGCAGCTTCCCGTAGCGCTGTCTCCAACTTCTCCTTGCCTGGGCACACCCAACATAGCTGCCGGCACCTCTCCACAGTTTCCAGCAATGCTGCCTCCAACTTCTCCTTGCCTGGGCACACCTGACATAGCTGCCGGCACCTCTCCACAGTTTCCAGCAGTGCTGCCTCCAACTTGGGCACACCCGACATAGCTGCCGGCACCTCTTCACGGCTTCCGGCACCTCTTCACGGCTTCCGGCACCTCTTCACGGCTTCCGGCAGTGCCCCATCGTGGTGAGATTATTGGTGACATCCATAAGGACGGTGATGCTTCCACCTCCGTACGGCATTTATCGGAGAAAATCATGCCTTGGCAAGATTGGGAGAATTCCTTCATGGCGTTCAAAGCCTTCTTTGATGGCGGTGTTACACATAGCATGAAATCATCGCATGGTTCTGTTTCCTTTGAGACTATAGGATGCATGGATCTTTAGCATGTATAGTTTTATCGTGCTTTGACTGTAGTTTTTTTTTTTTTTTTTTTCTTTTGACATTCTAACGACTACGTTGTTATGACTTTGTAATTTGGCATTGAACCACTGAAGCTTGTATTAATTTTTTGAATGCTGAAGGCAGGTTGTAATTCGCATGTCTCATATATACAGCTTGGTTGGCAAAACACGTCTTTGTGAACTGTTTGAGATTTTTTGACAGGTTGGATATCCTTAAAAACAAGGTATATGCTGCCAAAATTCCAACATGAGCGGAATTTCTAAAGTTTCTTTTGCATGGTTTATCTAGCCTCTGGGTTTGAAAAGCAGCTTCTTGCCTTCCTTAAAAAGGGCCAGACTAGCATGTGCATGATTCTTACCAAGGTTTTATAAAACTCCCAGATGTTGTTCCAGCACCTCAAGATTGCGTGCTTCTTTGGAATAGATCGGTTTCTCGTGCCTTATGCTATTTTTGCTTAAGCGTGATGCTTGTTGATGGTTCGGGACCCCATTCAAGTGACTTTGCTTGGCATGGTTACTGCTAAAAGGCTTAGCTTTTAAAAGGGAAGTTTGCTTGTCTATTTTCTTTTTCTTTTCCAAGAACACGTTTTGCAAAACAGAAGAAGATAAAAGTAAGGAAAGGATTCTAGAGGCTTTTTTTTTCTTTTTCCAAAATACTCCATTCTCTTGCAAATATCGTCTTACACCTCGGCATGCTATAATGGTGGTGCATTTTAAAAAGTTGTGAAAGCATAGGGTGAAAATACATAAGGAGTTCATTTTTGAAATAAATTTTGAAAAGCCAAAAACAAAATGATAGGTGCAAAAGCAATTCAGCAATAATAAGACCTTGAGCCACTTTGCATTGATGAATACTCCAATCAAATCAAGCCCCCAAATATGAAAGGGCCCAAGGTTGTGCATGACTTGCAATGGCATGAAAGCTTGTGGCTTAGGTTGGCATGTATTTGGCATGTGTTGTACTATGATGCCATGCTCTGTAGAGATATTTAACAGAGCCACAGTTGCTGCTTTGCTTGCCTTCAGCTCATACCCAACTAATCAAAGAGTGATTTGCAGCTCCTAACCCATTGTACTTTCTTCAACCTCTGTGAAGTTATGAGAGGTTACAAAAGCTGCCTCTTGATAATCTTGATGACCAAATGAAGCCTCCGAGTGGCTTTCTTCCAGCATGTCCAATGTGAATACTTCGCTGCTGGAACCATTCTCCCATCCATTAGCAAGTAGCCACGGGGTGTTATAGCTTGCATATTTTGAATATTTGCTCCAGTTGGACTTCTTCATATTTCCACAAGGTTCCCACATAGCCTCCGGTGGCTTTGGGTCATTCTTCCACAGGTGGCACAATACGTCGTCGTCGAGCAAGTCATCAAAGCACGTAATGACAGTAGCCATCTACTTTCCCCTTCGTTTTGGCAAGGGGTCCTTGTCAATAGCTTGCCTCTTAGAGTTTTGTCATGTATCTCGGCGTGTAAGATCTTCCTTAGAGTATGGCAAGCAGTGGTGGATGTTGCAGGTGAAGAATGGATGAATATAGGAAAATACGCTTCCAACACCCCTTTTTCTTGAAAGCTTGACATCGCTTCAAAAATTCTAATTGCTTGGTAAAATAAACTTCATCTTGACAGCATTTAGGTTCTTCCAGCAGTATCATAGCACTACCTTCACAATATTTTCCTTTCATTTGCCATGAATTGAGATGTTTTCCTTCTTGAGTAAAGCATAGTGCTTGGATTTCTTGACTAAGGCTCGGGGCTTGATGATGCTTGATTATGGAATTGTGGCAATTGAGACATCCCGATAGCCTTTTGGTTTTGACTCCTAAACTTGGTCATTGGAATGGTCAAGGCTTAGAAAGTGCTTGAGGTGTTGGAGCATATCAGTTATGGCAACTTAGGTATTGTTTGTTGCAGCTGTTGTGAACATGTTTTAGGAACCAAAAGCTTGGACTTGGCTATTGAAGCTTGAGCTTTGTATGTGGTCACTGCAGCAAATGTGTTGGGTTACAACAACAAGTGATGGCGAACTTGGAGGTCATAGTAACATAATTGGGATTTCAAGGAGATTTTTGGTCTGGGAATAGTGGTTTTGGTAATAATGGATTTTTAAGCTCATTTGGGGTTTTGGAATCACTGCCGTGGTGATTGCAATGAATTCCTTCCTCAGCCCCCAAGTGCACCATAATCATCAGAAAAGGATTTGATGGGCATAGGCTACAAAAACTCTTGCAACATGGCCTTCTTAGTATTTGTTTGGGTTATTGCATGGCATGATGAACTTGGGATATCCCTTTGTTGCAACGGTGACAGTTTGGCATGATTCGGTGGTAGCATGTGCTTCTGGCAGCGACTCTTCCAGCAGTGGTGTTTGGATTTTGACTGGCTCTGTTCTTCTTCCACCCTTCCAGCGGCTCTTTCAGTGGTGCTTGAACTTCTATGACTGGAAGTATAGAGAGAGATTTGTCTAAGGAATAGATGATAATGGCAGTGTGTTGAGATGTTGGGTAGGAAACATGAGAGCATTTGTTTTCTTGTTTGTTGTTTGGAGGCTTGGGTCCCTTGCACATGACCGATATAATGCTGCATGACCAAAGCATAAAAATAATATAAGCATTGTAGCTTGCAAATGACTAACATAATTGACATAAGCATGCTGGGCAGGTATGATTTTAGTACTGAGCATGCATAGTTGGCATCTACATTGCAATGTGTAACTTGGATTGATTAACACAAAGGTGGATCGATACGAAATGATAAGAAGTAAGATAAGTGAATAGTGCGTGGAATAAGGCCCTGAGAAATTTTGCTGGAGATGCAAAATTGAAAGGTGGTTTAATACATAACAAGAAAATGATGCAAGCTGGTGCACCATATGAATATCAACTAATCAATCAATCTTTTTTTTTGGACTTGAATGCACATGCTTTTGTCTATGCTTGAGATTGTTCAATGAAACATAAATTTTATGGATATCCTAAAACAACAAACAAATATATATACTATATTGAGATCAACAAGGCATGATAATAAAAATCTTATCTTGGTGAAGCCATTCGCAGAGATGAGGCTGAGAGCATTGAGCAAGTGTTCCTTCTCCCTCTCACCGTGTTTTCACAACTCTAGAGAGGTGAGGGCTGCTATGAAGGTGATTTACGGCGATGGCCAGACTTGCTGATGATGTATCATGGCGGAGAGGTGAACGGCAGAGCTAGCCTCAACCATTGACGACGGTGGTCAGCGGCTTGCACGTTGGCTGAAGCCCCCAGTCCTCTTACAAGATATTGTTTTGCTTGAGAATGGAGATCTAAGACACAAGCAAAGGGAGCATGTGAGTAATCTATATTATGTTTGTTCTACAAAGTAGATAGCCAACGAAAGGAAAAAGAAAAAGAAAGAGGGAATGCTCTTATCTCTTTATTTCCTCCGGTTTATTGCTTCTGGTCTTCTTCTTTGGAGGCATTGGTGCAGATAGTGGCTTAATCCCCAGCAGAGTCGCCAATTTATGTAGGGGCTTTTTTTCTTCCGGCAGCTACTACGGGCCTGACTGCCGTAAAGGGCAAAATGGAAGAAATTGCCCCTTGAGCCTGAGTTCGAAAATTAAGCCCCAAAATACCTCGAAAAGGCAGTAAAGCCTTAGGAAGTATTTTGGTTATCTTCACCAACCAAAATAATGGCAGCTTACAGGTAATTTTTCATGCTTACAGATAAACTTTTGAGCTTGGCATGAGGGGCTTGTGGCATGGGAGCAAAATTGGCATGAGTTGAGCACCAAAAAGGAAATATGGCTTCCTAGGGAGAAATGGGAGTGTTTAAGGTGAGGAAGAAGAGGTTTTCAAGCATATGTGGCTAGGAAGAGAAAATGGAAGAACTATGTTCTTCTGGCAGCTTGTCAGAAGAAGAAAATGGAGGAAGATGAACAGTGCACGAAATTGCTGGTTTTTGCAAGTATGAGAGGAAGCTTGCTCTCTAGTTGTGGATGATTTTTGTTGGGTAGAAGATGCCCTAATTTATAGCCGCTGGAAGCTGATATTTTCCAAGAAAACCTAATGGCTTCTACCCATTTTGGCTAAGCTTTTCCTTCCTTTCTCCCTTCATCTCTTCAATCATCCCTTTTTGGTGAAATCCACTCTACCCATTTGCACAAAATCAGGGATTTTTGGGAGCTCAAAGCCCCCTTTCCCGCGGCTGTTTCAGACTTCTATTTTCAGCCATCTTTCTTCCTTCTTTTCTCTCCTTTTCCAAGGCTAGGTCTGATGAGGGAAGGAATGGGTATGCATGCTGGTTCAAATGGTGATCTGCGCTCCAATATCCCTTGGTCATTTGGAAGTTTTTGCTTGAAACTTGTTTCTCCCATGTGCTGGAGCTTTCCAGCAGCTTTCACACATGGATATTTTGGCTTTCAACGTGGCTTTTGTTTTCAGCTAGGTGCTGAAGATTTGCGTATATATTTTTTTGGGTTGCTTGGGCCTTCTATGACAATAAGTTGGTTTATCAAGTACATGGGCTAACTTCATCAAGTATTGGGCTAGTTTGGTTGAAGTGATGGGCTATTTTGGTTGGAGTAATGGGCTATTTTGGTTGGGCTACTTTCTCTTTTGTGCTCACCCACATGTTTGGGCCTAAGAAATGGGCTTGGGTTCCGAGGCTCCCAAGTAACCCGGAACCTCCACTTCTTGGTCCATCAATGGGCCTCATGACAATTTATTACCATCCATACCACAACCCACTCAAGCAAGCCCCGGGTATTGGAGTGGCTTGGGGCCCACTTAAGCTTGTGGCGTGATTAGGTGCGGAATGATAATCCTTGCTTAGCGTGGCGTGTCGTTTGGCGTGGCATGTGTGCAAGCGCATATGATGAACTTTCGCATGCCCAAATCGGGTTTCTTCTTGGTAAAACATCGCATTGGGCCGAGAATTTATTTGGGCCGAACCGTGAATATTTTGGGCCTTAACAACAATCATACCACAACATAAAAGTTATCGGATCAATGAACTTCTGGTTCATGACATTATAATATTCAACTACTTTAATGATTGTGTAATACAACCCACAAAAGAAAGTAGGAAGTTTGTTCAATAGACGCCTCTAGCTGTCAATATTGGGCGGTAATACATAACATTACCTTTGTAAAACAAAATTAACAAATAACCCAACATAAATAAAATTAAATAAAATGTAAAATTAATAATAATAAATAAGCAAAGTGGTATAAACAGCGAATAAAATTAATTAATTAAAAACTATGCAAGATAATCCAATATTAATGTATATTCAATATGTAGATAGAACTACAAGTTTAAGAATCAGATATCCAACCAATTCAATGTGCATCAAAGTAGGCTATTTTTCCATGAAATCATAAATTTTGAGTTTTTGATAATTCATCTCATGGATATAGAACTTTAGGTTCTATGAAGTTCAAATGGCAAATAGGCACAAAGAAGTAATGAACTTCAGGTTCATATATAGTATTAAGATCCATGAAAAGCTATGAACTTCAGGTTCGTATCAACATATATTCAAAGCTTCATGTTCGAATACGTAAATCTAATTAAATTGAATTAATAGTTGTGCTTTGAACTTCATATTCAAATCAATGTATATGCACTCAAAACTTTTGGTTCGGGTTCTTGACATATGTAGGCCTCATGGAATTCTAATTTTGATTAATACAAAATTTATGAGTTTCATGTCCTTATGTTCTTTTTAAATTTGTGGAACTTCATGAGCTTAATTATTTGGAATCAAAGAACTTCAAGTTCTGAGTCAATAAAAAAAACTCCAGTTCTTAATCTAGTTATATGACGAGGATCGAGGAACTTCGGGGCCTGATCTTTTGTATAATACAAACTCATCATAATAATTAAGATCATACTTAAAATTAAATAAACAATCAAATAAAAAAAACATTGCATTATATTCATATGTAATAAGAATAAGAAACTTTTTTTTTCTTAAACGAGCATGATGAAGTCTGATGATAAGTACAAAGAAACTCTGTATCATGTGATAACTCTAGTTTATATAAGAAGAAAGAAAACATATCAAGGGCAATGTTGTGTTGATAACGTGTTATAAAACTTGGGGGAATTGTAGAGAGCAATAAGAGGAAGAGAAATACAGAGAATTTGTTCTGTGAACTTGTATCAACTTATCTTATTCATCATTGATAAGCACCTATTTATAGGCTTACAATAGAGGTATTTAACTCACAATTTATAGCTACTAATTACAATAATAAGGGCATAGGTTACAAAGCAATAAGGGGTGGAGGTAATGGATGTTATGGTGGTCATCCACATTCCATAGATTTATACCAATGTTTTTATTTTTATTTTTTCGAACAAAATCATATACAGAACACTTTCGAACCACAATATTATAAACAAAAATAGCAGGACCCTTTGAGTCAAAGAGTCAATAGCATTCATTTGAAAGTCTCTTTAATCTACAGGTCTAACAGAACTTGGTGAGGAGTACAATTCGTGATAGAATGGTAATTAGAAAGCAAGTTTTACTCATACAGAAGCAACTTTACCAACAGAAAAGGGGCACGAAAAGAGGCAGCTGAGGCCTACCATCAGTTTTTGTGTTGAAGCCTCCCACTTTCTGCACCAGCATAAGGATCAATTATTACATTTATAACAGCTGGTTTTCGGGCTGAGAAGGATTCCGAAAGGGCAGACTTGAGTTCTTCAGGTGTCCCGACAAGATAGCCTTTGCCTCCAAAAGCTTCAATCAGAGTGTGATAACCCGCACTAGGGACAAAAGAAGTCGGAGCAGGGTCATCTTTGTAAGGCCCGCTAATTTCATCTGGGCTTCTTCGATCACCGCCATACACACCACCATTGTTAAAGACTATCACAACAACAGGGAACTGGTATCGAACCAATGTCTGCGGAGGTCAAGAAAAAGTGTGCATGAATGAAATATTCTCTTGTGCAGCCAAAGAAACACACAGGCAGGCACTAAGATGAATATAATCAGTGAAGAAAAATGACTAAACAAAAACATAAATGGCCTCTTATGTAAAGTTCAAAGAGGTTCTTGCACAGAAAAGAATATGAGAATGATAATCATGTGAAAACAATTAAGCTGTATAACAAAATAATTGCTTACATCTCTCTCGCTGACCTCCTTAACAGAAGCTACGTATAGTATAGAACCAACAAAGGCAAATTGAATGGGTAAAATAGTCTGGTAATATGTCCAGTTCAAGTTCTCATCAACTTTTCTTTTCTTTCTATTTTTTTCTAATTATACAGAAGACCACCTAATCCTCTTCTAGAATTTGAAGCAAAGGCTCTACCACCAACATCTCTCACCAGAAAATATGGCTAAAGCTTATACCAACTTTGGGACAAGACCTTACATGGTAAAACCATAGGAAGAAACCTACCCTCACAAGGATTCTCAACGCACCGCCAATGTAATCAAAGTATGGAACTATGTTTCCCTAAGACCCACCAAAACCTTGTACAGCATTCTAATTAAGCTGTTACAATTATCACACTAACTTTGACGTTTTTGAACCTGGACTAAACTATTTTAATCTGCAGTTCTACCAAAAACCATACCAAAGACTATGCTGAAGACAAACGAATAAGATTTTACAACACAAAAGACCCTTGGAAGCCGCTAACCACCCTTTCTCACTCCCAGCAAAACTAAGACGAAGATAGCAAATGCCTCATATTTGTTCAAGTCTCTTAAACCTTATGCTCTAACAATAAGAGACAAGCATAGATATCTGCATAGGAAATCAACTATAGAAACTCATTCTCATAGAAAGCTCACCTCATAACCAGTAAAAGTTTAAATGCTTCAAGTTGTGAGCAAATTGCTAGGCCGGCATAATCATAGGGGTGTGAGATGGGCAGATGGACAATGAAGTACTTGGGTCATCCACTCGGAGGGAACCCTAGACCTAGAGCACTCAAGTTTTGGGATCCAGTGGTGGAGAAGGTAGAAACAAGGCTTCAAAATTGGAAGGAGGCATTTTTATCTAGAGGTGGAAGGCTAATATTGATTCAAGCTGTTTTGGGCAGTATTGCTATTTATTATATGTCCCTGTTCAGAATTCCTTGTGGTAGTAAGTTGGAAAAGTTAATGAGAAGCTGTTTGTGGGAAGGAATAAAAGGAGGGGAAGAAAGATCACCTAGTAAGGTGGGAGATGATGGCCACAAGTAAGGACGAAGGGGGTTTAGATGTGGGCAATTCAAGTGAGAAGAATAAAGCTTTTACTTGCTTAGTGGTTATGGAGGTATCAAATGGAAACAAGTTCATTGTGGCATAAGATGATTAGGAGTAAATTTGAGGAGGCTGCTAATGAGTGGGATGCAAATCTTTTGGTGAGAAGCTTAAGTCGTAGCCCTTGGAAAGATATTTCCCTCGGGTTGCTTGTTGTTCTTATTGGCAGTTTTCTGGAACATTAGGATGAAGCGTAAAACAAGAATCTTTAAGGATTATAAGGATGTGGGGGTAGATGAACTCTGGGACACAGTGAGGTTCTGGGCAACTTTATGGGCATCAGTTTCAGCTGACTTTAGGGATTAATAATGTTGGGTTTTTCAGTAGCTGTGAAGTGAAACTAGATTTTTCAAATTTTGAGCTTTTTCTTACTTAGCTCTATTTGAGTGGTTTTTGTTGTATTTTCTCTTTTCTCTTCAGATTGTGGATTCCTTATCCACTCTTTGTAATCAGCTTTCCTACTTTAATAAAGTTCTGTTTCTCTTCAAAAAGAAAAAAAATACAGAGGAAAACCAATAGCAAACTTTATATAGAGACGAAAAGGGGTCATGGCTCCTGCATAATTTGAAAGCCCTTAAGCAGATTGGTTTGAAACTAAAAACTGCTTGGGTATCCCCCCCAAAGACCAACTCCTTCCACCTATCCAAGCATAAGCCAGCCTATTTCTAAGTCTTATTTATGAAGACTGGTTTCAGACGAAAAACCTTGTATGTGTGTAGTCCCCTCAAGACCCAGCCTTTTCCACCTCTCCAAACATAATCCAGCCCATTTCTTAATCCCCACACTCACTTCAGCCGCCCATTTCTTAGAGCCCCACACTCATCTAAGCTGCCCATATGTGTAATACTTGTTTCCCCGCCCCAAATAACAATTCCTAGGTTGATAAATCCAGCAAACATGTCTAATTAAAGTATCAGAGCGCCAAAGTTTTTAATCCCTCTATCCCAATCATAAGATCATCAAATTTTCTTTCACATCCTCTGGACCAAAGGGAAGTGCATCAAAACCAACAACCAAAAATTAGAGCTCAAATGAACTTGAGAGCCACAATCCACAGATACAAAAGAAGCTTACTGGTATAAGAAAGTAAAGAATCAGCTTAAGTCACTCCAGCTCTCTAGAGCTTCATTGAGAATTGACTAACTAAAAATTCAAACAGTTTCTAGGAAAGAAAAAAATAACATAGAAACATTGTATGCTTTCGTATGAAACTATTAATGTAAAACAAACAGGTTATGCTTAGTTAAGCAATTAAATCTATTGAACATAACACTAGCAGAAAAATTACCATTCTGAATAAGCATTAGCCCATATTTCACAAGAATCAGCAAGTAAGGGATCATACCTCAACTTCCATTGCACTGAACCCAAATCCAGAATCGCCTTCCACCGCAACTACCAGCCGGTCAGGAGAAGCCACAGCAGCCGCAATGCAGTAACCCAGACCAACCCCCATTGTCCCCCAAGTCCCTGCATCCAGCCTGGTCCTAGGCTCTGTTTGAACCAACACTGCCCGACCAACATCCATAGTGTTTGCCCCCTCGGAAACTAATATAGGAGCAGGGCTCCCCAATCCTGAAATTGCATCTCTAATAATTTTCATTGGCGTTAAGAAATTAAATGGCACAACTTCCTTAGCCAACTGAGCCTCCATTTTCACAACATTGTCCTTGGCCTTATTCGATATAGCTTCAACCCATGAATGAGACTTCCCTAAGCAAAAAGGATCATCCTTAATCTCTTTATTGATCTTTTGCAACACCAGCTTTGCATCTCCAACCAAACCCAAATGAGGTTTTCTGAGCTCAATCTCTTCCTTATCAACATCAACCAAAATGAACTTCACGTCCTTGGACCACTTGGGCGGCTCACCAAAGTGCAAAAGCCAATTCAGCCTCGCACCAACAACAAGAGCAACGTCACATTTCCCGATTGCCAGCGACCTTGCTGCCGTCGCCGCCAGCTCATGAGTATCAGGCAACAACCCCTTTCCCATTGGAGTGGGCAAGAATGGGATTCCAGTGCGCTCCACCAGTTTACCCAACTCATCCTCCGCTCGCGCAAATGCCGCTCCTTTCCCAAACACAATCAAAGGCCTCTCTGCGTGCCGAAGCAGCGAAACCGCTTCTTCAATCTGCGAACTTGGCACATTCACAACCTTCTCCGACTCTCGGAACCTCTCCGCAGCAGCCACTAAGCTCTCAGCATCCGACTCGGAAATTGTTTGATGCAAAACATCAGACGGAAAATCTAAATAGCACCCACCGGGTCTGCCCGAACCGGCTTTAGCAAGGGCCTGAAACACACAATCCGGTATTTCCTTGATTGATTTAGCTTTCACAGAGAATTTCGAAAAGGGTTTCACGGCGGCGATCTGGTCGAGCTCTTGGAAATCGCCGCGGCCGAAATCTTTCTGATCGCACGAACCGGAGATCATCACCGTGGGCCAAGCATTGGTCATGGCGTTGGAAAGACCCGCGAGCCCATGAACGCATCCGGGGCCCGATACCGTGAGGAGGACACCGGGTCGACCCGTTAGAAACCCGTAGGCAGAGGCGGCGTAACCCGCCGACTGCTCGTTGTGGAAGGCGATAAATCGGACTCCGAGAGAAACTGCACGGGTTGCGAGCGAGGTCACAGGGATGCCGACGACGCCGAACATGCGATCCACGCCGAACCCGGCAAGGGACTTTGCGATCAGCTGGTTGCCATCGAGGATGGTTTGGGAATTTTGGGTGGTTGGGGGATTCGGGTCTGTCGAATCCGCCATTGTAGCTGATTGTTGAGTGTCTGGTTTGGGGAGGGAGTGTGTGAGTGGAGTGGTATATATAGATATGAAATTTGAATGACGACTATGCCCTTATGAAAGGGTTGTAATTACGGAGAGATTTTGGGAACGTGTGTTGTTGTCTGTTGTGTTGTTGTCTGGGCCAGGCGGCGGCGATGAGGATATCGGATGGGTGGCTGTGGGAGATGGAGAAAGCAAATGCAAATTTGAGAGATGCACGTGGAACATGTGTCAGCCACTATTGCTTTTCTGGTTGGGTGGGCTGTCGGTCTGTCAATGAATGAATGGAAGCAAAGTGGCAGACGCAAGTGATTTGCTTCTTTTCTCTTTCTTTTTTCTTTTTAAACCATCCACAATGCCCCTTGTATACAAATTTTGTACACTCAAACTACATCTATTTATGTATACACAAGTCTTTAATTACGCACCTTTAAAAATTGAGTCGCCAGTTTTGTGAAAATAATTCACCAGAAAAGGAAAGAAAGAAAATGAATAAGGGAATTTGGGAGAATATCGTGTCTACTCTTTTGCAGTGAGAGAAGGGAAAAGATAACACGTACAGTCAATAATAACTTGATGAAGTGAGAAATGAATGGGCAACATTTGTGAGTCATCGCATGTACTAGCTATCTAGTTCTATGTTAGTTAGCCTAGGTAGTGACTATTTTGTGTATTTTGTATATGGATAGTGGTAGGTGGTATAGATGTGGCGAATTTTTGAAATAAGACAAAATTGGTAAAGGAAGATGCATCTAAAAAATATTGCATCTTAATGTCAAAGACAGGTGTATTAGGAGAAAGGCAAGTTTTTTTAGTATTATTCTAGTTTTTACTCATTTTGTCAAAGAAATGGGCTTAGTAGTAGATTAGTCACTTGTAAAGGTTGAGGACATTGATGATGAGTATTGTCTAGTATGATCCTCAATCTTTTTAACCAAATCTCAAAAAACTACGTTCGAAATTGGTATCACACGGCGCTTCGCTTTTAAAAAATGGATCTCTCAATAGCCTTCAAAAAGGCGGTTTTATTTATAAAAACCGCCATAGATTTTGATTCACACATCATTTTATATATAATAAAAAATTGCCATAGATTTGGACAACACATGACATCTTTTTTGAAATAAGTGACGTAGTATGTCAATCACACGGCCCTATTCAAGGAAGTTTGCAGTACAAATTTGTTTCAGATTACGACTTTTCTGTAATTGTAACTCTATGAACGTCATTTTTAAAAGAAAAAGAACCTTATATTTTAAATCATACGTCGCTTTTGTGTAAGAAACCACTGTGAAAAGTTGTTAACAATGTCGAGTTTTATAGAAAAGCGATGTGGTAATGTTTGAAACTACGTTAGGTTTTATTAAAAAAAACGAACGTGGAAAGGTTTGAATGACGGCGATTCATCGTGGTTTGACTATATAAACCACGACGGTTGACTAGATGTCAGTTTTAGACCACAAACCACGGGGAGTAAAACCACCGTTGTTTGCAATTTTTGTACTAGCGAAGATGTGGTGATCCTTGCTAAAATATGAATATGGTTTGAATGTATTAAGTTGAATTTATTCTTCTCCATAAGGAGGTATATATAAGAGTTTACATGTAGGCTTTATAAGGAATTAGATACAGTAAAGAATTAGGAAATATCTCCTAATTGTACAATGATTTATCAATTATATAAAAAATAGGAAAATAAATCCCTTAATTAATCAAGGTTCACGTCAACAATCCCCTTGTGATGTGTATTCCATAATGTGGTGGTGTGGCTTTTGTATACGGAAGTATTCTTTTAATTATTGTGATGGTGTGATGTGGTTGAGGAATGTAAGTCGCACTTGATTAGCTGAGTGGGTCATGTTGAGTCATGTTCAAATTAAATATGGAGTGGAGTGGTCCTATGATTGAATTATATAAGAAGTTGGATCAGAAATAGGGTCACCACATTTGAATCACGCGAGCACTTAAATTGACCACACAAACATTATTTATTTATTTAAATTCAAAGAAAAACTTTTATTTTGGCCAACTGTTTGTTTTAATGTTTTTTTGTTTGGCCACATGGAGTCTTCTGTATTATTTGCATAACGAGGCAAGAGATCACGGGAATGCCATGCATCCTAATTAGTAAAATATATGTGATGTCTATTATCAAGAACCACACTAAATTATTGATCAAAATTAAATTGTATATATATCGATTTGGACGAATTGGATTGAATCCTAAGCACCTAATTAGTAAGATATATTTATTATCAAGAGCCACGCTGATGTTTAATTAATACCACGATTTTGATTCATACTATATGTGGAAATGGATCGGATCATTAAAAAGTATAAAAGAGAATTCTTATTTTTTTTCATATATAGAAATTGAACATAACAATATATTATTCCAACAATTGATCAACATCGCAGCTTGGCGTTGGAGGACTGTCGTCATTGTCGTCACTAATGTCTCCCCATCGTCGTCAAGGGCGGAATTATGGGTGGTTGGGGTGGGCTCTAGCACAACCTTGTTTTTTTCTCAAAATGGATCTATACGTGCAATTTAATATAGCTAAGTTAGAAATCAACCCAAGACTCTCCACAAGTCAGCCCACTGGTCTATTAAGCATACTCAAAACTCTGACCACGGAATAAAAAAAACAAGCCCAAGACCTTGTCTTCCTTCCTTTCTCTCGAAAATGGGTTCCTCCTTTCCTTCAACCTTCTCTTTACTCTTTTCTCTTTTCTTCTTTGTCATTTTTGTCTTCTCTCTCTCTCTCTCTCTCTCTCTCTCTCTCTCTCTCTCCCTTTTCTATTTTCTTTTTATTTCTTATCTCTCTTTTCTTATTCCTTTTTCTCTCCGCCATCTTTATTCTCTCTCTTTCTTTCCTTTTGTCTTCTCTATTTGTTTCTCGGATCCTTGAAAAATGAAAACCAACCTTAAAAAAAAAAGAAAAAAATCTATCTGCACAAGAGAGCTGAGAAAGAGAGAGAAGGAGGTATGTAATTAAGATGTTACTGTTTATATATTACTGATGATATATGTTTTATTTTTGGTTCTCATTATATTAATTAGCATACCAAAAAAAATATTTTGGTTCTCATATTGTTTATATAAATCTTCCATACCAACAAAAAATAAATTTAGCACACCCCTAGAAAAATTCATGGTTCGGCCATTGATCGTCGTCGCTGCCATCGTCATCTTCGTTGTTGTCATACTTATCGTCACAATTATCAAACACATTCATCAAATAATCAATAATAAAGTTGTCGTTTGCGTCAAAACTTGTCGTCCCATATTCCTCAACTCCAGCCACTGCTGAAGAGGACAATAAAGGACATCCATTGTCTAGCCATGATTCTAGACGTCATGACCATGATTCTAAATGTCAATTGCCTAGTTATCACGACCTCATAGTTGATTACTCTTCATTGATTTGCTGTTATATACATACCACTTATGGACCTTTATTTTAGCCAATCATAAATTACTTATTGTAAATATCCATGTATTTGTTAACCACATGTAACTATATAATGCAATATCAATACACAAAACCCTCATAGGGTCATTCTCATCTTTCTTGCCTATTACCTGTTACTTCTCTCTCTCTCTCTCTCTCTCTCTCACCTCAAACCTCTTTCTCTACAACCGCCACATCAACATTGTTGGTGGACCAGCTATTATTATTATTGTTACTGGTACTTGGAAAATAATTACCATCAATATTAATAATGTTGCTCAAATCACCCTCACACATATTTTCAATATCAGCCAGAGTAAAAAGAATCATAATTATTGCCTATGTAGGGATTTGGATCAATTACTGTAGACGTGCAATTACTAGCAACATGATCTTGCTCCAAAGATTTCAACAAGTCTGGCATTAAATCCTCAATTTCAACAAAAACATGATCATCGATATAACCCTCGTCCTTTTTCTCACTTGACTTGGATTTCCTCTTCTTTTTTATCGAAGACTTCAGTGGATACGACATCAGCTTCGTCGAATTTTTGGACCGTTCCTTGCTTTCTCTTGGTTCTTCTGACTTCTTCATCATTTTGAGAGATTTCTTTTATTTCTAATAAAACAACGTAGTACACATAACCAACACAAAAACCCTAGCTAGTCTCAAAAGATCCTCGAAAAGCTTTGCAAAGAATACATAGTTGGTATAGGCAATGTAGTAATATATAAGGAAAGTCTTTCTTAATGAGACATGGATTTAACAATGCTTTAAAATAAATAAATAAAAACCTTTACAATTGGATCAATACATACTTGTGTCTTTGAGGAGATCAATTGTTTATTTGGTCATGCTGAGAAACATACTAGTTGAGTTGTACTTCAAAGCCCATGAAGCAATGTAAAGGCCCTAAGTCTTTAATGGCTAATTGGGTATTGAGTTGGGAACTAGATGTTTTCAAGATGTGGAGGAGTTGTTAATGATAACAAAGTCCTCAATGTAGATAATATGGAATGTAACAGAGGTATCAATCTTAATAAATATAAATGTATAAGATGTACAGGTGTGAAACCTAAATATAGGAGAGCATTTTGTTATTCCTCATACTGGGCACAATGAGCTTGTTTGAGGCCAACGGTATAATTGGTAGATGTAGTAGTGCTTTTGAGAATCTGTGAAGATGAGCCATGTACATTGTTTCTTGAAGATGACCATGGAGAAATGCATTTGAGATATCTAGTTGGGAAATTGCTCCAATTGTTATGAATTGCAAGAGACATAAGGATTTCAAATAGGTGATGGGCTTTGCAACTATACTAAAGGTTTCACTATAATCAATGCCTTCCAGTTGATTTACTCATTCTTCCATAAATCGAGCCTTCTAGAATTCAATCGTGCCATCAACATGATGTTTGATAAGGAAGACCTATTTACATCTAATTAATTTTGTGTTGGATGAGGAAGTACCAATGTCCATATCTTAGTTTTATGAAGGGTGGCGCTTTCCACATTCATGATATATATCTAGTGTGGATCTTTCAAAGCTTGTGTATAGGTGGATGGTATTGAATGAGGCTGAGAAGATGTTGTTTTGGTACGTGTGGGAGGTGGTGGTGAAGGAGGGCCAATGATGGTGGTGATGATGGGGGTTATATAGATGCTGGAGGTCGTGGAATTGTGGTTGAAGTGTTGGATGTATAAGATGGTGTTTGTTTGGGGGAGTGAGGAATATTGATTGGCTATGTTGGAGAGTTAGGGTGTAGAATTGGAGTTGTTTAGTGGTGGTAATTATAGAAAGGCATAGATGGGTGAGTATTGTGTTGAGGATGGTGAAGGAGATGAGACTAGAGTTTTAAATAGTAAGTTAGGTTCATCGAACACCACATGTCGGGGGATATATATACATGACATGAAGAAGGATAAAGGCATCTGTAGCCTTTTTGGTTGATGCCATAACCAATAAATTAAATGCACAATTTGCTTATGAACTTAACCTTGTGGCTAGAGTAAGGATGGAGCCATCGAAAATAGGCACACCTATATGCTTTAAGGAAGGTGTAGCTAGGTATACAATGAAACAACTTATTTAAAGGACTGATGTCATGCAAGGAAGAGGAAGGTAAACGATTTATTAGATATAGATATGTTTGAGAAACTTCTATCCAATATTTGATAGGCATTGAAGATTACACAATTATGTGAGTGTTTCGTTTAGATTTTATTTAGGTGTGAGAGGGCATGTGAGCTATTGTGTAATGCCTCTTTGTGGCTAGAAATTGGCGGAAGTAAGTACTAGTGTTGTGATCACATTTTGCAGGGACTGCGTGTGTCACGCATGCCAACAGTAAAAAAAATTTGAAATTTCTTCGCAGACACCAGCCTAGCATCAGCTCTACTTTCCCCCAAAGGATAGAAGCCACCTAGCACTTCTTGGGGTGTTTGATCCATTTTTTCAACTCCAATCCAACGGCTGTCAATATTTTGTAAAAGAAACTGAAAAAATTTGGAGAAAATAACAAAAAATTTTGAAATTTTTTTCTATAAATACCTACCAATATTATTCACTCTCCACACCAAATCTTCATACAAATTTTTCTCCATCCAATATTATTCACTTTCCACGCTAAATTTTCTACTACTAAATTTCATTTGTGTAAAAATACAAATGGTCTCTTCCATCGAAGCCGGAGGGTCGTGGACAACCATGGAAGATGTTTTGTTGTGTGAGTGTTGGGTCCAAGTTGGTCATTGCCAGATCACGGGTAATGAGATGAAATTCTCTTATATGTGAAGAAAAATTCATGCCGAATTTTGTGATTGGGTTTGGCTCGTCTGAAAATGGCCTTTGCTAGTAGGTGGAAAATTTTGAATAAAGAATTAGGGAAATGAAGAGATGTGTTGGCAAAAGCGAGGGACAACGTTCGAAGCGGCGAAAATCTTGGCAACAAGGTAAATTTTTTGTAATTGACGTTTTATTAAATTTAATGTCATATTGTTTGATATTTTCTTGCATTTCCAATTTATTTTTTTTATTATAGATTATGCAAACACAAATGTGGTTTGGTGCTATTGGCCAAGACAAAAAATATTTTAACAATCACCAATGTTGGGAGGTTGTGAAGAATTGTTTGAGATTCAAAATTATTCCCATGGGTCCAACCATTGTGTTAAATGAGACGCCCCTCCACGATTCACCAGCATCAAATTCGCTGTTGGACTCCCCGATGAATCAAGGCTCACCAATCCAAAGAGAGTTGAGGCCTATTGGGAGAAAGGTGGCAAAAGACAAGATAGGGAGCACTTTGAACAATGATTGTGCAAAATTTTTGGAGCAAATTGCTATCAACGACACACTGAGAATTGAGAAAGACATGAAAAGAGATAAGGCTGACAAGGCAAGAGATAAAGCATTTCCAAGAGAAAGGGAGTATGCACACAAATAAGGCATGGACAAGAAAGATCGGGAAACCATGGCCATGGATACAAGCCATATATCCCTTGAAACAAAGTCATTTGGAAGTAAGAACAAAGGGATATTATGAGAAGAAGGTTTTTCTGTGACGATGGACCTAGCAACAAGGATTGGTTAAATGATGAAAACCATTAAGTTGTATTGATAGAGTTGGTATTTCTTAATTAGTTGTATTGTTTGTCTTTTATTGAATAAAGTAAGCATTCAATAATATAGCTATTTATTTAAAACATTGCATATATCAAAACAAAGCATAATGCAAAACTAAGCATTAAACTTGACTTCATTGAGAGTGATTGCCTCTCAACGCCCACAATTGCTCCATCAAGTCAACTTGACGTCTTTCGTGAACATAAGAAGATTGCATTTTTGTATAACAGTCAATCATACGGTTGTTGTAACGACCATCCCTAATCAAGGGTTCGTGCTATAGTGGTTGTCCGTTTGATCTCCGGGTTGTTCATAAATTCTTGTCAATGTTGTGTTCATAGGATCGGGTTCGAACATCTTTGGTTCATCATAATCATACTCATCCTCCACGATTATGTTATGGAGGATGATGCACGTCATCATAATGCTCCAAAGCACCTCTTCATCAAACATACTAGCATCACCCCTAATGATTACCCACTAAGCTTGGAAGATATCGAAACATCTTTCCACATCTTTCCTATAACCCTCTTAATAGGCAGCAAAGTATTTTTCCTTCTTCGATTGGGGATGCGGAATTGTTTTGATGAATGTCGTCCACCTCTAGTACCTACCCGAATAGATGGTATTGTTGATTTCATACGTGATCTGAAGGGATTGACCTCTCAACATATCATTGAATATTGAGGATTAACCGAGCACGTTAAGGTTGTTTTGAGATCCCACAACTCCAAAAAAAAGCATGCCAAACCCAAGTATCGAATGATGCAACGGCTTCCGGAATGATACTTTTTTTGCCCTTCCTATTACCATAATCTCCTTGCTAGGCAATTGGGCAATTCTTCCACTGACAGTGCATGCAGTCAATGCTTCCAATCATGCCTGGGAAACCTCGAGCCTCGGCTTTTTGTAGAAGCCTTTGGAGGTCCTAATCATGCTTGGTAATACCTCGTGTAGATAGTTTCAATTGCATCACAGAATCTGACCAAGCCCTCTAGGATAGTGGATTTCCCCATCCTAGCAATCTCATCCACCTGGTCTGCATATGCGCCAATTGCCAGCATCCATAAAAAGCTGTAAGTTTTTGCTCCGGAAGAAGACCTAAAACCCCAGTAGCATCGTACTTCTGAACGAAATATACGTCGTAATTGCAAACATCGTGCATGATTTTATTGAATAAATAGGGTTGCATTCTATATCACTTTAGAAAATCAAAACTAGAGTACAACAAATTTAAGATAAGATAATCTTCCAAGAAATTCTTACCACGAGAGTGCTTACGTTTGTCCACGTTCGGGCCATGGCCGGGTTGTGAACCACGATGGTGTTGGCTTGATTGATCGAGCGTACCCACTACCATGACAACTTGATCATCTTCTGTTTCCCACTCCCTTTATTCTTCAGCATGTTTGCGCATTCTTTCTTCATTTTCTTGCTCGACCCTGTCCAACAACCTCCTCGTGTAAGACAGTGAAAGTAGAATGTGTTTTGTAAAATCTCAAAGATGAAAGCACAAAGGGGATATGGATGATTGCTGTGAGTTGAGGTTGTGGTTTTATAGAGGGATTTAGAAGATAGAGATGACATGTGGCACAATTATAGCACTGAAAATCTTATCCGAAATATGATATGTGAATTTTATAATAAATATGGACACGTGACAACCGAAAATCTTATCTGAAATATGATATATGAATTATAATAAATATTGACACGTGTCAACCAAAAATTTTATCCAAATTAATCGTTCAAGTATAAAAAGTAAAATTAATTTAAATTGAATAGTAATTGCCCTTTGCCATGACAATGGATGGAAACCCAACTTGCCTTTTGCATGGGCCGACACTATTTATGTGAATAGTAACAACCTTTGCCTCTCCTTACCCTTTGCCATGACAAATGGGTGGAAATGCTCTAATAGTTGGACTCTTGAAATTGAGTTTGGGTAATGAATGGTAAGGCTTGGTAATATATAAATTACAAATTTATAAATAAACCCAATCCTATACATGTATTTATAAAAAAACCCATGCACTATTTAAACATAGAAACACACCCAAAATCAACCCCAAAATCAACAATTGTATATTTTTTGGGTGTGTTTATAAAGTGCTTTGGGTGTTGGATTTTTTTTATAATTTCAGCCCCCATTTTGGGTGTTTTAATAAAACTCCCTATATAAATATATAATAAAATATAAAATAATATTTCCACCAGTTTTGGTTTTCTCAATTTTTCAAAGTAAAAAATTGGAACCAAACTGATTTGAATCGGTCCGATTGGTTCTTGATCCTAGGTTGATTTTCCCCTTCTTTTTTTTTGGTAAAAATGAAATTTTTTTTTTTACTCGGTTAAACTCAGTTCACCGATGCAAATACCTATACCTGATTCTTACTTCATTGAAACATGTTTTAATAATATATCATTTAATTTTAAGAAAAAAATAATATTTTTAATTAATCTATTAATTATTAATGTGAGAAAATAATTAAAATTCTAAAAAGATAATTTTTATCAAATATTGTATTATGTTTATGTTAGTTTAAAAAATGGATTTTTTAAACTAAAAATTTGTATATAAAATATTTTATTTAAAATAAGGGCATTTTAGTAATTAAATTGGTTTCAATTTTGATTTAGGGAAATTTAGCGAACAACTTATAAGAATCCATATCCTTCCCACTCATTCCAAATAATTTAGTAAACAACTTTGACAAAAAAAAAAGGCTATTATAAATATGAGTAATGCTATTTAGACACACAACATTGATCATCTTAGCTGACCACCTTATGTGGCAACTGATGTGTTATGTCATGTCAATTAATGAATATTGCTATATGCATTCTATTTTTTATTTATTCTCTTTTCAATAATCCTTATAAAAAAAACTGAAAAAACAAATTAAAAAACCCTAACATCCCTGGTAAGTGGCCTCACGTTTGTTCTCAATTCTTCCTCACGTCTCCACAGTAGTCCCATCCTCCATTGTTGCTGCACTGTGATAGGAGTATCGCTAGAATGTGGCTGTGATAAGAGTATCATGTCTCCAAAGCACTTCCTTCCTAATCTAGGCGGATCCTTGATTTTACCCAGGTATATATATATATATATATATATATATTATTGTGGTTGTCCTTCCTAGGTCAGTCTCTTTGTCTCAACAATGGGGTTGTTAATCCTTCCAAGGTTAGTCGCTTTGTCTTAGCTATACAATACTAAATAGGCAGGATGAAGAAAACCATGTTGCATGAGGGATTGCTTATTTAAACAGCCAACCTTATTCTTGTATATCATAATTGTTCTTGTATAAGTGCTCTTAAATTACATACACACATATATACAATCTTAAATTAATTGGTATTATATTGTATATGTATTACAGGAAGTTTATATTAATGTTTGGAATTACTTAGGATGGAAGAATCTTCAAGAAGCCATTCAAATTTGGAGATGAGTGAAGAAAATGATGAGGTTGACATTGGTAAGACTGGACTGGAGAATACAATGAGCCCAGAAGAAACAACACAAGAACCTAAGGTAAATATGATTTTTAACACGGCTGATGAAGTGCTTGATTATTATTAAAAAAATATATATATATGCAAATCAAGTAGGTTTCCTAATGAAAAAGAGATCATCGAAGAAAGGAGATTGTGGGGAGTTAAAATATGTGACTTTATCATGTTCTCGATCAGGGATCCCACAAAGTATTGCAAGCAATGTCCTAAAGCCATATCTAAGCATAAAATGCAATTGCAAGGCTCAACTTAGGGCAAGTATATGATTGGATGGAAGGTGGAAAGTGAACTCGGTCAAACTTGATCATAATCATGGATTGAATCGTGCAATAAGTTCACATACGAAAGGAAGATTGAAGTGAATGATAGAGCTGGAATAAGAGTAAATAAGAATTATAATTCAAAGGTAGCTGAAGCTGAAGGGCATGAGAATATGCTATTCATGGAAAAGAATTGTAGAAATTACATTAACAAAGTTGGAAGATTACAGCTTGGGGAAGGAGATGCAACTGCAATTCAAAATTATTTCTTGAAGATGCAAGCTCAAAATGCAAATTCTTTTTATGCAATTGATCTAAGATGAAAGTGGTCGGTTACGGAATGTGTTTTGGGTAGATTCCAGGAGTAGGGCAACATATAAGGAATTTGGTGATGCCATTACATTTGACATGACCTACTTGACGAATAAGTATGACATGCCATTTTGAAATTCACTAGAATGGCCAACTGATCTTTTTCTTAATACTCAAACACCACGACAGGATTGAAATACTGTAACAATCAAGACTAACGCTCACAAGGCAGACTTGCCTACTCGCCTTCGCAACTCAACCCAACCAGCGATCTTGTCTTCCTTCGTCAACAAGAGATGGCACAACTCTGGTCTCGGCTGCTCACACCTCAAAGCACGATTGCTGATCACCAACATGCATAATGCTCATGAACTCACACATATATGAAAAGATGATGATTTAATTACTCATGGAGGCTAACAAGGAACAGCCACATGAGTTTTCAATATAAACTCTCAAAAACCTCTCTACAAATATTTTGTCGTTCCCTTTCTTTTCAACGTTGCAGACACAAAACAAAACGGTTAAGTTCTCTTTTGTATTTCACACTTAAAACTAGGTCGGAGACCAAAAAAAGGCTTTTGCAAAAATGGGCTTTTTAACAAATAAATTATTTCTTTAAAACAAATAAAGCCACTTAATTAAAAACCCAGCCGTAAAGACAAAAGAGCCTTTTTGCTTAAATAAGCACCAAACTAAAGAATATAAAATCATCATTAAAAACTCATTGATGTCTGGCACTGGATTATGTAAGACTGAAATCATATATCAGTCATGTACATCTGACAGCCACTTTTGATGATCAAGCAAATATGAAAATATGAATGCATGGATGCAAAACATACCTTGGCATTGTCTCTGAGCCACATTGATCCAGGATAGCAGAATGTCACTTGAAAACTATAGGTTACACTCAAAGACCTACTCTATGTTTTTGTAACAGGAAATTGCCAATATACCAAAAATTGGTCCTAACACATTTGCTCCATTTGTAGGTGTCAATCATCACGAGCATTCAATTTTGCTTGGATCTGAACTGATTTCAAGTGAAGAAACTGAGACATTTGTTTGGCTATTTAAAGTGTGGTTGGCATACATGTCTGGGCATGCTCCATGTGGGATAATTACTTGTCAAGACAGTGCCATGAATAATGCTGTTGAGATTGTCTTTCCTAACACTAGGCATCGTTGGTGCTTATGGCATATAATGAAGAAGCTTCATGAAAAGCTTAAGAGTTACAAACACTATGAATCTATTAAATTTTACTTGGAGAACATCGTGTATGATTCATTGACTGATATTGAGTTCAAAGATCGTTGGAAAGAGATGATTGAGAAGTATAAGTTATAGAGTAATGATTTGTTACGAGGCCTATATGACAAAAGATGTCGTTAGGTGCCAAGCTTTGTGAAAGGAAGTTTTTGGGCAGGCATGTCTACCACACAATGAAGCGAGAGTATGAATGTTTTTTTTTAATAATATATTATTTACTTTGAAGAAAAATATTATTTTTAATTAATCTATTAATTATTAATGTGAGAAAATAATTAAAGTTCTGAAAAGATTATTTTTATCAAATATTGTATTGTGTTTATGTTGGTTTTAAAAAGGCTAAATTATTGAAATGCCCCCTGTAACTCAATTTCAGTCTCAGTTCCCTCCCCTCCCCCCCCCCCCTGAAACTCCAAGTGTCTCACTTTCCCCTATGAAACTCCATATATTGTCTCAGTTTGCCTAGATTCCATCCAGCCCTAATAGAAGTCGTCAAATCTTAACCCGCCAAAAACAACCTTCCCTTACAAATTCAGATACTCTCTAAATATGTAACTATACACAGACTCATTTGCAAAACCAGACCCCTTTCCAAACTCGAAGAAATGAAGAACAACCTCCAACAATGGCGGGAACCCAACTCCTTCTCTCTCTCATCATCCTCTCAGTTCTCTCTCTCCTCTACCCTCCCCACCCAAACCCTTGTCAACGCTGTCGAAATCCTCTCAGATTTCGGCTACACCTCCATGGCTCTGACCCTCGACCTTGCCTCTCAAACCCTCCTCTTCTCCCAGTCTCCTTCTTTCACCATCTTCACCCCCACCGAAGCCCCATTCTCTCACTCCGGTCAGCCACTGTTGAACCTCCTGCAATTCCACGTCATCCCCTTTTATTTCTCTCTCAGATACCTCAAGTCCCTGCCTTTCAGCACCAAGATCTCAACTTTACTCTCTGACCTCTCTCTCTCTCTCTCTCTCTCTCTCTCTCTCTCTCTCTCTCTCTCTCTCCTCTCTCTCTCTCTCTCTCTCTCTCTCTCTCCGTCACCACTTTGGCCTATGACCCTAGAGTCTCAATCAACATTGTCCCCATCATTGTTTCCCCAATTTTCGATCATGGGTCGTTGATAATTTTCCGAATTGACAGGTTCTTGGAATGCGCTGAGGTCGAAAGAGTGCTCCGTTATGGCTTCACTTCTTGAAATGCAATTTCATGGGTTTTTCTTCAAGTACCAGACCATGATGACTGTGTTTGCTCCATTTGACCAAGTCTTGATGAACCGAGTTGGGAACTTGAGTGAGCAATCCTCCATCTTTCATTGCCATGTGGTGCCCTGCAGGCTTTTGTGGAGCGATTTGGTGAGTTTCAATGATGGGACGGTGTTGAGGACTAATCTGATGGGGTTTACAAACAATATCACTCGATCCCAAGACATGTTGATGCTCAATGGTGAGTCGATCATTTTGCCAGAAGTGTATCACAATGGCTAGCTTTCGGTTCACGAAATCAATGAGGTTCTTGAGGTGCCACATAGAACAGAGCAAGTGACTGTGGCTCCATTTTGCCAGGGACAAAAGAACCCATAAAAATTGCACTTGGGCCTCATGTGTGCAAGTTTGACGACTTCTGTTAGGGCTGGATGGAATCTAGGCAAAGTGAGACAATATGTGGAGTTTCATAGGAGAAAGTGAAACACTTAGAGTTTCAGGGGGGAAATTGAGACTGAAATTGAGTTACATGGGGCATTTCAATAATTTAGCCGTTTAAAAAATTGATTTTTTAAAACTAAAATTTTGTATATAAAATATTTTATTTTAAAAAAGGGCATTTTAGTAATTAAATTGGTTTCAATTTTGATTAAGGAAAATTTAGCAAACAACTTATTCATCCCACTCATTTCAAATAGTTTAGTAAACAACTTTGAAAAAAAAAAATTTGCTATAATAAATATATAAAAAGCTTGTTGTCCAAAAAAATATTAACATTAATGCTTGTGCCACATCATGTAGGTGACGTGGTTAAAAGTGTAATATTCAAGGTTTTCTTCCTTTCTCATACCGCTAAGCCCTCCCTCCCTCCCTCCTTTCTCTCCGCTCAGCCGCCTTCACTCACTCTGTTCTCTCTCTTTCGGTCTGTCTGTCTGTCTGTCTCTTCTCTCTCCCTCTCTATCTATCTCTTTGCGTGCGCAGAGTCAGTTGCCCTTGCGAAGCAAAATGATAAAGCGGCGATTCTACAAGCTAGAACATGGCGACAGAGATGGTCCCTCGAATTCCTCTTCATCCTCCTCGGATTCTGAAATAGAACCAGAAGCCATAGAGGACTCAGATGATGATGATGCAGTTGAAGAACTCGAGGAGGATGCTCAGGCTTGCTCTACCTCCTCTGGTTTTTTCATCCTTTCCTGATGTTATAATTTGTTTAAATTTATATGATTTTATTTATTTGTTTATGTGGGTATTGGTTAATATTGCTGAATTGAGTTTTTCTGTTCTTTTCTTGGCTTCCAGGATATCAAAGTGAGGATAGCTCAGCAAATGAAGTTCCCGATGACTCGTCAGGTAGGGATTGTTTGATTGTATCAGTGACTTTTGATTTGTTTGCATTGCTATACAGCTACCAATTTTTCTTTTTCATTGTGTTTCTGATCCTCTTATTTAAGTTAGAGACTTTTGTATCTTTCCTAATTACCTCTACCCATGTTATTTATTTTTGGTCTTCCTCCTCCGGGGAAAAATAGAAAGAAAATAAAAATAAAACAATATTTAAAAAAGGTGGAGAAAAGACAGGTCTTTATGTACTCCTGCATTGATATGTTGTTGAACATGAAAATTATGCAACCCGTGGTTAAGATCGGCATAAAGTTGATATGGAAAAATGGGTTCCAATCACATTGCAGGCAACTTGTTATGCCTTTTTGCGTTGCTTTAAAGATTGGTGGAGACAACATATGTCGGGCACTCTAGTACTTTCAAGAGCTTCTTCACAAGTTAGAGGGGGTGATTGCATAGAGCAGTCCACTCTCTTCTTTATTATCTCATAAATGATCTCTTACAGAGAAATTTTTTTTTCCCCATAATTAGTTATCTTTTACCTCCTCATAATTTGATATAGTACTTTCACGGTTGTGATAATGGTCATGAGTGAGAGCTAGGATCCAAATGGAGATTTATCAGATGTGGCTCACCAAGTTTGATGTTCTGCTAGTCTTATCATTGTGATACTAAGCACACACATCATTTGCAGTTCTTGAAATCATGGAAGCTTTTCTGCTTTAGTTGATATAAGGTTATAGTTGGGCAATATAGTTATTTCTACCATTCATAGCACAATGGTATAAGATCACTCTCTGGAGGTTAAAAAGTGGAGGCCTTATTCGAAGTTGCTACATTTACCTCAGATCATTTGTGGAATTATGGAATCATGCAAGATACTGTTATCCGTGCAAATTAAACGAGGAAATTTTCGTTCATAAAATAATTATATTCACCTTGATTTTATTGTTGAGTGCATTTTATATCTTAATGTTTGAAAAGATGCATACTCCTATGCTTCTGGAGGACTGCATTTCCTGGATATATGACATAATTTTTCATATCAGATCTGCCAATCAATGAAGATGATGATGCTACAACCGGAAATGAAAGACAAGTTCCTTTGGCCGATCAGTTGTTTGGTAAAAGTGGTTCAGAAATACTAGAGGAACAATCTAACATCGTGGCCAACAAGGAATCTTTACCAGTTGATTTCCCGGACTGCGTTGTCAAATGCAAATCAGCTTTTAAATGCAGGATATGCCCTAGAGTTGTCTGTTTGAATGAGGAGACTTTAAGGGCTCATTTGAAATCCAAGGTAAGATGCGTGGCATAATTATCTTTCTCTAGGAATCAAATCATCATCTGCTGTTTGTAACTTCAATTGTTTGTCATCAAGATACAACTCCTTGCCACTTTAAAAAAGAAAACGAAAGAAAATAAAATACTTGGATTGGATTGGATTGGATTGAATTGTTTATTTTCTTGTTTTATAGTTATGAAAATATGATGATACTGTCAGCCCAAAAAAAAAAGTTTATAATACTCCTTTTTCTTCCTTTCAACTATTTTGAATTTGAGATTATTTCTGATATTTAAGCTGGTAATGCAAAATGACAAGGAAATACATGTGATGTGACAAGTAGACTTGGAATAGGATAGAGAAAGTGGTGACCAACTACTGGTTTATTATGTACTAAAAGAATATTAAAATATTGAAAGAGAAGTTGTACAAAACTATTAACAGGTCATCTACTCTTTATGGCACAGAATGTTGGGCATTAAAGTAAAAGCAAGAGCAACACATCCATTTAGTGGGAAGGGAAAGTGAAAATGGATGATAGGAGTGAGTAGAAAGGTACAGTTAAAATAACTCTATGAGAAAAGCATTGAGATTTCACTCTATGATGGACCCCAATTTGGAATTTTTAAGTGTAGACTTTGTTTTTGGCCTGCATGTAATGGGGGCTCATCTCCAAATCTTAGGGAACACATGCAGAAGTATAGAATCTGTAGGTATGCTCAGCAATTTTTGATATCTCATACAATGTGATATGCAATCAATCCCACAAGATGTGGGGGTTCTTGAAGGGTTCCAAACTATTAGGGGTTTATGTAAGCAACAGATTTATACAGCTTTATTATTGTGTGCTAGCTGCCATTTAATTGAGGAAGTGCCAGTATTTTGATGTGGTCTTATCAAGACCATTCACTATTATTAATGACTAATGATATTGTTGGCATTATTGTAGAGACATGCTCGGTCTGTGAAATTATTGGACGAAGGTAGGTTGAAGACCATGCTGAACACTGATGGGAAAATTGAAGAAGAGGAGACCCCTGCTTTATATGCTAGAATTTTAGCTAATTCGCAGGTTGGTATTTCTTATATTGCTAAAATAAACCAGCAGATTGATTATCACTTGTGTGTGCAAGAAACTAACCCATCTCTGCTACTTTATTCCAGGGTATGCCGAGAAAGAAAAGTAAAAGAGAAGAGAAGAAGGTGTCAAGAAAGAAGGTAAAAAACACCATGCCACAATGCTTGAATGAATTTAGGCTCTAAATGTATAAAAAGTCTGTTAACACACATCTTCCATTGTTCAGAGAATGAGATATGGTGCTAAGAAATCCAAAGAGAACCCAGCCAAGAGAAGTCGTAAATGAAGTACTGAGAAAGTTACATTTGTTTGCTGTCCTGCGAGCGAAGACAACTGCGAGAAAGCAAATGCGGATTTTGCTGGTTTGTACCGAAATACTGCAGCCCCTTTGAAGATTTTCATCACTTTTGAGTGATGTAGCTAAACAATCATTTCATAATTAATCACTTTACTCTGTTGTTTTGTTGTCGCGAAATTTTGGGTTTAGTTGCAAAGTTTTGGTATCCAGTTCCAGAGGTTTTTGTTATCAGGAAAGGAAGGCAATCGGGTTTTGCATTCCTGAAGCTGTTTATTTAGGGTACGCAGAATTTATAATAGAATGCGTTTGGATACTACAAGTTATGATAGGGTCAGTCTTCCATATCACACACGAGCGGTTTCTATCCGTTATCTCTGAGACCCACAATTGACCAATAGTCAGATATTAGCCATGCGGGCGTATGACATTAGCGAATTCCGGATAATATATGGCATTGTCATTGTGTGGATCAGTCAACTTTGTTACGTGCGTGTTTGCTTTGGTGAATAGATGTGCAATAAGTGTACCAAGTACGAAGAAGTAACCAAATTCGACCCATCCCACCGGCCATTCCCTGAAACTCACAAGATTTAGATTAACTTTAACAATAGTCACAACTAAAATCATGCACAACTTGTTGAGAGACATTTTCTTGAATCAGTGAATCCACAAGCTAAAATGTAGGCTTGGTTCTTCAGTTACATCCTTAACCGGTTTTGGGTGGGTTTAAATCTACCATTATTTTTGTTAATCTATCTTATAAGCGTATCCAACTTCATATAATCCAGTAAAAGTGCCTAGAAGTTGCAGAGGTAAACATCGTCGTTTGTTTTGCGATTTTACTTTACTCTGGCATTCTGTTGCCGATGCCATAACTCAAACATTACACGCTACATCTTAATATCTTAATAAAGCTGAGTTCAGACCCCAAAGAAAAAAAATAGAGGCAGAAAATATCCAAACCATTGCATTTTAGTAACCCAGTTTTTCTTTTCCAGGTCAGCACCACAAGCTCCAGCTTACTTGATTAAGCAAACAGAAACTAAAGAAAAAACTGAAAAAGTGATTTAAGTCCGAAAAGTTACAATCATTCACATGATGTCAAGCTAATAAAGTGAAAATCTGTCCTATTACTACAAATTTGAGAATTCCAGTCAGAGCACAGAAAGTATGAAAGTAGAACGAAACAGATTTCCTACCACCGAAAGTCAGAATGGCTTCCTGAACCAATATTTGCCACAGCTCCAGGGCAGAAGTTGTAAACTTCAAACCCCTTCCTTGGTAGGGTCAAGCCTTGGTATCATTCTCTTAATTTTTCGGCAAAGACACAGTGAAATAGTATGCATAATGTATTCCTTGAAAGAGAATACTGGAAATCCAAAAGGAATAAGAAGCCTGTGAGTTCAATACTTAAGGTCATTGCTCCTCTGAAGGGTTTACAGGCGCAACAAGCAAGTCTCCGCTTCCATCTGCCTCGTTAGGCTGATCAGGTGGCGGTTGTTCTCCATTCTCAGTATTCTCTGGGTGGAAATTGATGGGGAACTTTGTGACCCTGGGTTTATCAGACAAAATGTTTCTTTGAACCCTATCAATTAAGACCTTTGGAGGAGGTTCTTCTCGCAGCTGTTCATCATCATAATCATTGTTAACATAGTAGCCCACTCGGATAAATTCCTGACCAAGATAAGAGCAGGTCAACAAAAGCACTGTCACACCAATAATGTCTTCATCACGAATCTTGGATGGGTCAGGAGGATCTGCCTGCAAAATGTTCAAAAAAACTTGTTGATTCATATTCAAATGCACCATGTGGATCAGGTATAAAGAAACGGTACAAGGATTCAGTGGAAGCTTGCCTGTAGTACAAAACGATAGTTTCCAACATTGACAGGCCCAACAAGTACACTTTCCAATAGTTGGTCATAAGTCTCATCCTCAGCAGATCCCACATAGATGAGCTTCCATTCCAAATCTGCATTGGGATGGGAAACTGATTACTTCTAACAATTAACGTTAGTCCCACACAGAACTAGCAAAAGTATTTGAAACTTGGTTCCACTTGTGCAATCTCACTTAAGAGAAATTCAGCTCCCAATTCTATTCAGATATCATACAAACAATCATCACCACCCGTGAGGAACAACCTGGAATCCAAATTACCCTAAAAGTCTTCACATTTAATTTAGACTCTTTAAATGGTTTAATTAAATCGGATATTACTAGTATGATTTCCAAAACATATAAAGGAATGGTAAGAATATCTCCATGATTATTTACTTGTCTGTTTTCCTCAAAATGAGTCAATGTCCTCACCAGAAATGAGTCCATGTTTTTCAAGTTGGTGCTACTTATGGGTTAAAACAAAATCTGCCAATCAAACTTTCAAATTAGGAAGTTCTAAATCTTCTCTTTTTTTTTATTTTTAAAACCACACAGTGCTACATTGTCACTCTTTGACAGAGCCTTTTTGGTTTTCTCTTAAGGGTGCTATATAGACCTCAGCATTACTAAGGCCAATGATCACTCACTAACTGGAGCACCTCATCCAGGTGCCATAATTACAGCTCGTGGATGTAAAATGTCAGGTTACACTCCATCACCAGCTGAAGCACCTCAATTTAACATCCAATGAAGCCACTTTATCTCATGCAGCAAAGGCAACTATATATATACATCTATTATTTCTAATTAAGTTTATTTCTGTTCCAAAATCCATTATATACATCACATTCTTGAAATGCAGACACATTACATTTTATTAGCTAAGGTGATAAATCAAACAAAGACAATGATAGAAAAGATGTCATCAATCTTTTTTCTTTTTATTTTAGATAAGTCAGAAAAAGAACTACCTAATTACAAATGCAGAAACATTACAAAACACAGTTGATTTCCTTCAGCATCACAGCATCTCCACAACATTCTCTTATTTCATTTTTTTTCTTATTTATATTAAGAATCCAACGGTGCAACACCTTCAAACACACCATCAAATGTCCCTTTATGCAAGTCCCAACTACATTCTGAAAAAATAAAGGTGACACTCAACAACCATCCATGGGTTCCCATTCAGAAACCCCAACAACAAACACAATCAACTAGTGCATGTTCTCAGTGTCTCCCATCAACAAAACAGAATATCCTGAGCTATCGTATATGAGCTCTTGGACACCATTTCCTTGCAAGGCAAGGAAATCCGGATTTTGTAAGGACAAGCTATACCCATAGGCCATTACATCAAACACTTGCATTTCCCTATCTCATAATATTCTTGTGAACCAAACAGAGAAAACCCTAACTGAAATTCGAACAGTCCCAAAACAAAAACCAAGAACAAGAGAAAGACTGAAAAAGAAAAAAAGCAGAAGAGTGAATGGTACCGTCTTTGAGAGGGGTCAAGCACTCATAAGAAATCTCGAACTGGAAAGGTGCGAGAAACAAAGCCGGATTGTCAAGCACAGTGACGTTGGTGATGTTCACCGCGCTCATTGTAACGAAGTCCCGGAGAAGAAAAACACAGTGGGTTTGTTCGCATAGGAGGATTTCGTGAACGGACCGGTTGAAACCCTAGGTTCCAGCACCTTCATCGAAATGAAGCAAATCCCAAGAATCACAAACTGTTTTTTCTTTCTCTTTCCTTTTCTGATTTTAGGGCTTTTGCGAGATTTTGATTGTTGGGTTTGGGGAAATTGATTTGTTTTCCTTTTAAAGAGCAAAAGAAAAATCAAAACAAAATGGTTACCGGACGGGTACGGGCGATAGCCGGTTTCGATTTGGCGGGAGTTTTTCGGGTGATTGGGTAAGACACTGTCATTTACCGGTGGGGGTAACTTGGGGCGGGAAGAGGCATATTTTAGAGCCAAAAGAAGAAGAAAATGGAAGCACTGCAATGGCAACACGTGCTATCCACGTGTCCTAAGGTCCATGGACTTCGGATAATTTAGATGTTTTTTGAATTAATAGGCAACAAAGTAGAGAAAGTGGTATTCCATCAACAATAGAAAGAAAGAAAAAAGTAGAAATAATCAGTTAACTTTTATTTGCTTTTATTTTTTATTTTTTATTTTTTAAAAGTACAAATAATAATCTAAGCTGAAGAAGGGATTTTTCACACTACCACGGTGCTATAGGAGTTCAAACCTATTACCGCTAGTCTTCAAGTCTATGCCCTTTTTATTTGCTTGTTTTACAAACAAAATTTGATGCTTTTTTTTTAACTTCAATTTTTTTTGGCTTAATTATGTACATGCCCCCTGTGCTTTCCAACTTATCTCAGATTACCACCTGTGGTGGAAAATGTCTCAAAGTACCCCCCAACGTGCAAAAAACTGTCTCACGTTACCCTTTCCGTCAGTTTTTTTGAAGTTCCGTTACGAATGTTACTGTTCATCTCCCCCAAAATTCCAGAACAGTAGCCTCTCCCCTTTGTTACTGTTCATCGCTTATTTACCCTCCAAAACTTAGCAATTTCTCCTAACCAACACAACTAGCAGCAAGAACAACTCGAGAGGTTGAAAATCATACCTGGATCGAAGAAAATGGTGCTCGGAATCGCCCGAACGAGCAATGGAGATTTTGGGTAAAAACCGGCCAATTTCTTGCCTTTTTTCGGTGATACAGACGACGGTTGGCAGCGGCTGAGATGTGAGGGTGGTAGAGGACAACGTGCTGGTTCTTTTGATATCCATGTCGTCGCTTGGGGTGGCCGGAGGAGGCGATGGCAGCCCAAAAACTGGTGCAATGAACAGTAACAAATGGGAGGAGCTGCTGTTCTGGAATTTTGGGGGAGATGAACAGTAACGTTCATAACGGAACTTCAAAAAAACTGACGGAAAGGGTAACGTGAGACAGTTTTTTGCACGTTGGGGGGTACTTTGAGACGTTTTCCACCACAGGTGGTAATCTGAGATAAGTTGGAAAGCACAGGGGGCATGTACATAATTAAGCCTTTTTTTTTATGCGACTTCAAATGTTTATAATTTTCTTGAATAAATTTGTTTTTATTTTCTTTATATAATTATGTCAATTAGGGCCACACATTCAAATATGGTTTTAACTTTATCATTGATATTGTTGCCTAAGCTGAAATGGAGATCCTGTCTTTACAAGAGCACAAAGACAAGAAGCAAAGGGATGATTGTTGTAGTCTAGAACCCCTAACTTTTAAGCTATACATTCAAAACATTTTTCACACTAAACTATACGTACATTACAAAACTTTGGGCAGTGAAAGCAGTTTATGCACAAAAACAGGAGAAAATTTTCAATCTTCAGCAACGTCCATCTTCCTTGTCTGGGAACAAAACATCGCAGCTATATCTTCAGATGTGCTACATTCATCTGGTTTTCTATCAGCCACAGTGCGAACGTATCTTGGGAATCTGATTGAAATTCCACGTGATGGATGAACTAAACCTACGGCAGCTTGGTGGACAGGGGACACAGTAAAGTCTGCACCTCTTATTTCCCATACAAGTTCTGGAGGAAACCACATATCAGGCGCCTCAGCGGTTTTATAATAAGGTGGTTTTCTGGACAAGATCTTGTCTCCAGAAAAGAAACTTTTCATCTGCAGTTAAAAACAGAAGCATAACCTCTTACCATGATGAGCTCGAAGGATGCATTGACTTTCAACAAGGAAAACAACTCGCACAATTTACAGCACTAATGTAAAATTCAAAGATCAGTAGCATATCCTGTGGTACGGTTACATTTCTTTAATAAGAATTCACTGGTTCTAGGTATGAGATGCCAAAGTGGCTTAGGACAAGAGTGCTGAAGTGCAACACCGTCAAGCAACATGTAATATTACAAAATTGTAACACTAGACCTTATTGCCAATGAGAAGCCAATGCCAGTATAATTTTCAGAAGGTAGACATGGAGAAATGGAAAACGCACAAACAACTTTTATCCCATAAGAAAGGGGTTTTCAAATAACTCAAGGATTCTGAACATGAATCTGTTTTCTGCCACTGAGCCCTAAACTAAGCCTTACTACAAAGCGGAAATTGCTTTCCGTAACATATCAAATAGCAGTACAACCAAAGGAATAGGCACGTTAACTTTTGACAGGACACGTGTGAGCCAGTGCAAATTAAAATCCTAGATCTTGTTTTATTAAGACAATCGTAGATCGTTTTTACTTGACCAAAAAACCTAAACCCCAATATCTGCATCAGAAAGTGCATTTCACATTGTGAGTACTGCAAAGAAATGAACCTTGGAAGTACTCTGCAATTGGCACTTGATTTCAAATGGATGTTAAAAATTTCATGTGAGCAACCAAATAACTTTAATCAACATCTTGACAAAATTTTATAATATTGGAGACCACTTAGCTTCATACAGCCACAGTTCATCTTCAATTAGTCACAATATGCTTGTGGGTAAAGCAAAATCCTTTGGAGGGTTAGGGGTGGGTTCTTTGAAGGCTAGGAGTGCGGCTTTGCGGGCCAAATGGTTGTGGCGGTTTCCCAATGAACTTCACGCCCTTTGGCATAAAGTGATCAGAAGCATTTATGGAATGGATACAAATGGGTGGGATGCTAAACCCGCGATTCAAGGGTCTTGCCGTAGCCCTTGGAGAGACATTTCTAGTGGCTATAATTTGTTCCTTCAAGGCTATGGTTTTGTGGTAGTATGTGGAGTTAGGGTCAGATTTTGGGAGGACGATTGGAGCCGGGGTGGTGTTTTGAAAGAGGTGTTTCCAAGACTTTTCAATTTGTCCAGGAAGCAAAATCACAATATTTCCTCATATGTGGACTCGGATGGGTTCCCCCTCAGCTGGGATTTTGGTTTCAGGAGAAATCTCAATGATTTGGAGATTGCGGAGGTGGCTAGATTGTTGGACTTATTGGAGGGGGTGAGGTTGGTCACTTCCAGATTGGATAAGAGAAGATGGAAGCTAGACCCCTCCGGTCTATTCTCCTATCATTCTCTCTGTTCCCATATTCAGAATGTTGGTGAAGGGGAGGTTTTCTCTCCTAAAACTCAAATTTGGAAGGCCAAGACTCCTGTGAAAGTTAAGATTTTTGTGTGGCAAGCGGTGTTGGGAAAACTAAATACAGGTGATACATTACAGAGACACTGCCCCTATATGTTCCTTAGCCATCACTGGTGTGCTCTCTGTAATAAGGCAGGGGAGAGTGCAGACCACCTCCTCCTTCATTGCCCCTTCTCTCTAAAATTGTGGGAGACGCTACTGAAGGAAAGTTAACACTCTGTGGGTAATATCGAAAGGCTGTTTCGACCTTTTTTCCATCAAATTTGATGCTTTGGGAAGGGGAAAGAAAGCTAAAATTCTTCGGGGCAGTCTGATGCAGGCAGTGATATGGAACCTTTGGCTGGAACATAACAGGAGAATCTTCGAGGATTATAAGGGAGTGGGAGTGGTAGAGTTATGGGATAGAGTGAAGTTTTGGGCTGCCCTTTGGGCATCAACTTCCCTTGCTTTTAAGGATATATCCCAGCTGAGTATCTTAAGGGGTTGTCTTTGATTGGCTGTTTTGTTTTCTGTGTTGCGTGGCCTTGCATTTGTTTCACTGGCCATTGCTTCTTTCTTTTTGTCTGTGTTCTAAATGTCCTACTTTTTGATCCTTTCTAATTTTGAATACAAAATGTTTCTATTCAACAGAAAAAAATTAAATAAAAAAAAGAGTTCCCAAAATGACACGTTACTTTGAACATCAGAGATACACTTACCTCAGTGTAAAATGAATCTGAGAACCCAGACATGACACGGCAGACACTTTGGAAATCCTCAGTATCAGGGTTATAACATGCCATAAGAAATGGACTGTACCTGCAACATAAATAGCACGCTGTAGAAATGGACTTTACATGCACCACCTATGCATATTTCATATACCAAATAGAAAGAAAATATGTCAGCTATAAATAAAGACTCAAATTTTTTTTTCTCTTAAACAGGATTTGTGACCCCAATGACTTCGAACATATAAAAGTACTTTCTGATTTTGTGCATCTGTGATATAGATACTAGGTAATCACACACAAAGGAAAAGGTAAGCGGCAATGAAAATGAAGTAATTACCAGCCTGCCTTTCTCCCGTTTCCATGCCAAGCTCCAATTGGGACTAAATCAAGAGAGTCATTTGATCCTTCCATGTAGTCTCGCTTGACCTAACAAAGGAACAAAAAGGTTTATACCACAGGTCAATGTTTCTCCTATGGTTTACTATATCAGGGTGTTTAATATAATAAACTTGAAAGGCATTAAACCTTTAACCATGTATCTGTACGCTTTGATGGAGAATATCCAGCATCAACATCTAAAGATTTAACCATAATCCCTTCACATGAGGAGAGGAATGCATTTTCGAGAAAACAGTTGATCTTCGTTAACGTCGCTTCACTGGTTAAACAAGCATCATCTGCTTCGACCTACAAGCAGACAGATCATACAAATCAGAAAAGCTAAAGTTAAAGCACTAATTACATAGATAAGTAAACCAGAAGCACTTACTGTCATTTCCTTGGCATACTCAAAATAACCCAACTTCTCATCATAAAACAGATCTTTCAAATCTGCAGGTTTTTGAGCACCAAAGTTTTACAATATAATTCCAGGAGAAAAGAGGTGCTCTATCAAAAAAGACATAGAGAGACTGCAAAATAGGGTGTGGAGATGAATACATTTTCGTCTTTTCCGTAGAGGAAAGCCCAACAACCTGTGATAAAGTTTGATTAGATCTCCACATCCCTCTTAAGATAAGCAACCAGTTACAATAAATAAAAACAAAGACAGATATTATATCTTACAACTATAGTGTGTCAACCCTGGGATATCACAAAAACTATATGAAGATTTTTAAAATGCTTGAAGATCTTTAACTCTTTTGATTTTATACCTATAATGTTTGAAAGACAGATTGTAGATTAGCAGAAGTTAACCAAATGCAGAAACCATAAAAATGTTCTAGATAAAGATCAACTGTAAAAGTTGCAAGTACATATGCTTTACAGTGCACAAAAATAATGTACACAAGGTTCAGGATAATTTACAATAGACAAAAGGACAAGTGCATTTAGCAGTTGGCATTTCCAACATTGCCCTTTTTCTTGGTGCAGGGAGGGGGTGCTCAAGGCCCTCCAAACCCGACTTATAAAGATGAACCAGTGTCAATTTATATGTAACAATATTCTTTTCATGAAGTTGACTGCACAAGGACGTTGATATAGGGTAAGGTGTTCCCAGGACCCTTCCACCATTAAGGTTATTTGACGCCCTTTATGTAGAGCCTCAGCTGAAGAGAGAACTTTTTGTACTCTTTCTCTGATTTCTTGCTACATGGATATTAGAAGGAGAGAAGCAAGGAACCTTTTCAGAATGCACTGCACATTAAAAAGCAAAAGCAAAAACAATACAACGCCCAGCACACAAGAAGTGTATAATTTCTGGAGTCATAAGTGCATGAAATACTTGTTTGGTTATTCAAGTTTACATACGTACAACAATCAAGTCCAACCAACATCTTTACATCTGCACAGCACTAGCATTACAGGAAGATGTCTAAAATCAGCATGACGCTATACATGCCAAAATGCACAAAAACATTTTCAATTACCATTGTAAAAATATGCCTTCATATACACTACCATGTATCCAAGATCATTATTATACAGCACCAAACAGATTAATTGACATTAATTTCGCTTGTTGACAACAATATTGGAGGAAATTAGGAACATAATCTGCTGAAATACTAGTAATGTTGTCCTTGACTTGGTGAACATTAAATTTCTACAGGTTATGTAGATCGATTCATTAGAACAGTGTAGATCAGGGTTCTTATCCTATTTTCGCTGTACAAAAATCTACTACATTAATAATAAATTTGATCTGAAAGCATCTCTACACAGAAGATAAAAGCATACCGAGAAGATTGAGAAAAACTACTTAAGGAGCTATAGATGCTTACTGCTGTCCATTGGCAAACATGATATCAAAGATAAATACACAAATGTCGACCTGCACATAAAGAAAATATTTGAAAACAAATTCAACATTTCAGCAAAACAGTAGAAGCCAATAGATATCTGCTTAAAATACTTCTACCCAGACAAATTTACACGGTTTTTTATGTGAAGTTTTCTTTATCCAGTACATATACCTACACAGATAATGTATCAACATTTTTATTAGATCTGCTCTTTCAATAAATTATACCTTTATATTAAACATAATATGTCAGAAAGACTTTAGCATGAACATCTTATATTTCCCATACAGAAATTCATCACAAAGCATCACAATAACTCATAAAACCTTAATGCTATCCAATGTAATTGATGTATCTCTGCTCCCTCTCCCACGTGAAGACAACTCTTGGAAAGACATTAGCTTCAGACCATTCTTCCTATCAATTGCAACCACCTAAAACCAGAAAAGAAACAGAGCAAAGACTTGGTGAACTATATTTGTTCCCCCACCAAAAGAAAATAATATAAATCAACTTCAGAACCTGGGTGTGTTGTGTGGGTACGATGGTGAGGAGTTTTTACCTCCGCATCTAGTATGAAAGTGACTGCATCAGGCTTACAAGAT